GACAGCATGACACAATGTTCTTGACACTTCTTTCTAGTCCAATCTTTTTCCAACACATAAATTTTATGCCTAAATATAGTAGACAAATATTATGTGTATATTATCTTATATCCTCTGGTATAGTAATATCAGAAGCATCCAAACCGTTTTCTAGTAGCTCACGTAATTTCAGTGAGGCCTCAATCTTTAATTCTTTCTTCTTTCTTCATTTTCTCATAGTCACACTTAACTCGTAGAGTATAAAGGAACAACTTTTTTTCTACATTGATTCAGGTAAAGTACAGAATATATTTCCTCTAACTTTGGTTTCCATTCTTAGTTTACAGCTGACCTTGACCAGTTTGATCAGTTACTACCCACGCTGGAGAAGGCAGCCCAGTTGCCAGGCTTATGTGAGCCAGAGAGGATGGATGGTGCGGTCACCAGTGTAACCGTCAAATCGGAGACCCTGCCCACTTCACTTCAGTCCACCACTGCCAGACCCACTTCCAGGCTGAATAGTATGTGTTGGGAGAAAACCTCACTTTAAATGTCTAATGATAATGTGGATTAGTGCTTTGTTTCTCAGCATTACTGCACAGACTATTTATTTGTTGAGAGTGAACTATTTTTGCATTAATGCCACTGTAAATAATGTACAGTTACTTTTATACATATGAACTTCACTCATCATGTGTATCTGTATCTTAAGTTATAGTATAACTTCTGTCTTTCTGTAATTAATGTTAAAGTGAATAGTTGATATTGAGGAGAGCAATTTTGTGTTCTTACCCAAAACATTCCATAGCAGGACTTTCAGAAATATAGTATTGGTCAGATTATATTACCCAAATTGTCTTCTTTGAATGCTAGTCCTATGAATTGGAAAAAAGGGATTTTGTGCTAAAATCCACTGGGCAAATACTACATGGCACATATACCATTCTCCTATTAAAATTCCACAGTGCATATTAAAGGTTTTAAAAAGTCCTATGTTAAACATACCAGTTTAGATTTCTGTAACCCAGCATTTACCATACTTTCTTGATTATGGAATTCCTTTTCTCAAGTCATGTTATCCCATGGAGCAACATTTAGGAGACAACTGCGTTGAAATGGGTCACTGCTGCTCTAGCCTAAAGAGACACTTTGATAGTATAATACTTCATGAAGACTGGGCTGTCAAGTTTTTTTCATCTGTCAAATTTTGAAGTTGAAAATAACAGTTGTGGTAATTCCATTGTGTAACCTTGAAACCAAAGGAAACTAAGCAGCTCACTTTCAAAATTTGCCCGTGTTCCCAATCTAAGTCTTGTCCCTCTTCTGACAGGATCAGATGTGGGACTCATTTATTTCAGTCTTACTGCAGCTTTTAGCTGTCAAAACACAATTCCTACAAGTTTGCCAAGATTTCCAGGAAGCTGGATAAAAAGGTCTTGAGTCATTTCTGACATTTTTGGAAGCAGTTTTTCAGCTGACCAGGGCACTAGGTGTGAGCAGGAGCCCAGGTTCAAGTTTCACATTCTCCATTTAACGGTGTTACTTTGGGCACATGAATTTCCTGAGCTTTATTCTCTTTATCCGCAAAAGAAGAATTAGATGAGATGACTCCAGAAGTCTCTCCTAATTGGAACTGAGAGGCTCTAGATTCTGGGGAAACAAGAAGGTGCAAGGCTAAAGGGCAATAAAATGAAGCCTGAATATTGAGTGGTTTGATCCTGGATCTCCATCCAATATGGGAGCCTGGGGATTTATCTCAGGAGAACCGAGTGGCCAGAAAGAAGATGTCTGGATATGAGTGTGTAAGGAGAGCTCCCTAAAGTGCAAAGGTCACCCTGCCGTCTAATCATCCAACAGAAGGCTCCCAGAAGACACAAGCCTCACACTCAGCTCTCATAGTCAGTGTTTAGAACACTGAACAGACACAGCCAGAGATCACCAGGACTTTGAGGGAAGTCTGCAACTTGAAAGAGAGTAAAAGAAACAAAAAGAGGATGCAATAGAGCTATATAATGAGTGCCTGGACTAAAAAAAACAAAAACAAAACCCTAAAATTTTTGAAAAGATATTTTATCCATATGGGAAGGAAAAAAAGCAAAGAATGAGAAAATATCTTTGGAAATTAGATATCCAGCATTTTAAAATTTCAAGAGAAATGGTAGAAGACAAAACTGAGAAAAACTTTCAGAAATAACAAAAAGACCAAAAAAAAAAAAAAGAGAATTGGAAAGAAAAATGTTAAGATAGACCTATGAGGGCCAAAAATGATTGATAAGAATCAAACAAACAATGAGAAGGGGGGGAAAGGGAAGAGAAGATATTTTCAAACAAACAAAAAAAATCAAGAATGTTCTAGAACCAAAGAACATAATTCTTCAGATCGCAGTGGCTCAACAAGTATCCAGCACGTACACACAAAAAAGACCTGTACCAAAACTTATCATCAGGTAATTCTGGAACACACCAGAGAGAAAGATTCTACAATCTTTCAGAGAGAAGATGTGAATTGCACGCAATGAGTCATAATTGCCCAAACCTGGAAGCTATCAAGCCTTGAAAAGACATGGAGAAACTTTAGTGCATGTTTCTGAGTGAAAGAAGCCAATCTGAAAAGGCTACATATTGTATGATTCCAACTATAAAGCATTCTGGAAAAGGCAAAACTATGGGGACAATGAAGAGATCAGTGGTTGACAGGGATTCATTGTTAGTGATTGCCAGAGGGAGGGATGAATGGGTGGAGCATGGGGGATCTTTAGAGCAGTGAAATTGTTCTGTATGATACTGTAATGGTGGATACATGTGGTTACACATTTGTCAAAACGTGTAGAATGTACAACACAAAGAGTGAACCCTGTAAACTCTACATTTTAGTTAATGAAAATGTATCAATATTAGCTCGTCAGTTCTAACAAGTGTAGTACATGAATTCAAAATGTTACAAGAAACAGCCCCATCTAAAAAAAAGGCAAAGGATTTTAAGACACTTCATAAATGAAGATTGAAAATAGCCAATAAGCACATGAAAAGATGGTCAGTATCTTTAATCATCAAGGAAATTCATATTAAAACTATAATGCAGTACTTCTACACATCCATTGAAATATCCCAGATTTTAAAAACTGACAGTACCAAACGATGATGTCAAAGATGTGGAGCACCTTGAACTTTGGCATTGCTGTTGGATATATAAAATAGTAAAATTGTTCAGTAGTTTCTCATCAAGTGAAACATACATTACCATGTGACCCAGCAATCCAACTCGTAGGTATTTAACAAAGAGTAAGGAAAGCATGTGCTCATCAAAAGGACTTGACCACAAATGTTCCTACAAGCTTTATTCATGATACCCTCAAACTGGAAATAGTCTAATGTCCATCAACAAAGAAATGGTATATTTATAAAATGAAATATTGCTGAGCAGAGAAAAGGAAGAAACTAGTGGTACATGGCAGGAATTATTCTCAAAAACACGCTGAGTGAAAAAAGTCCAGATCATAGGTTGCCAGTGTGGGGCTGAGGTAGGGAAGATCGACAGCCAAGAAGCTTGAAGGAACTTTTAGACATGACAGAAATATTCTATTTTTTTATTGAGATGGAAGGTTATGGGTTTATATCTTTGTCAACATTTATTAAACTGTACACTTAAAATGGGTGCATATTATTATATATACATTAGACCTCAAATTTACTTTAGAAATATCTGAGGTTAGAGTAATTTCTAACCTATAATTAGCCATCCAAATTGCCAGTAGCTGTGAAGATGGAAAAAAGACATTTTCACATATAAAAGGGCTCAAATATTTGCATGATATAGTCACCTTTTCTAGTGAAGGTCCTTACAGAATGTACTTCAACAAAACAGGGAGAAAACCAAAAAAGAGAAAGATAACAAGGTCCAGTGGAAACAGAGGACCTGAAAGGAGTCCGGGAATGATAGCTGATCAGTAAGATTAGGGAACATCCAGGGCGCCTGGGTGGCTCAGTTAGTTGGGCGACTGCCTTCAGCTCGAGTCATGATCCCGGAGTCCTGGGATCAGGTCCTGCATTGGGCTCCCAGCTCGGCGGGGAGCCTGTTTCTCCCTCTCGTCCTCTCCCCTCTCATGATGTTTCTCTCTCTCTCAAATAAATAAATGAAATCTTAAAAAAAAAAAGTTTAAAAATAAAAAAAAGATTAGGGAACATCCAATACAGATTGGAATCTGAATCTTCTGGAAAGGAGGCTTCTAGGGAGAAATGAGATTGTCTCTGAGTTTATAGAAAAGATTACTGATAGGTTTATGTCAGCAGTGTTGAAGTATCTGAAAGATTCCCCTAGAAAAGCGGCAAATGAAAAAAATAAAAGACAGTTGTTAACTCTGGAAAAAAGAAAGCATGGTATAAGAAAGGAGGTTTGAACATAGTGCACAATGTAATTTTGCAGTGAGTAATATTTGCATAATCATAAGAATCTAAGTATTAATCTAAGTATTTTTTTATTTTATAAAAAAACTGTGATCTCTGTTAGGAAATTGGGGACTTAGGAGGTAGTAGGAGAGGTAGGTGTGGGAAAATTAAGACCTCATCTATCGGGAAGTCAGTAGTCTCAAATTGAGACATCAAGGAATAGCAGCATATATATATTTAGAAATAAATAGGATAATGCCAAAGAAAACAGATTGAGAATGGCTTCCTACAAGTTGAGAATGGCTTCCTGTGTTGAAAGGGAAGTAACTGAAGGATTAGAAGGGGTAAGGCTTAAAGCTGCTTTTATTTGTAATGGACCATTTAGTCTTGACTTTTAAAATTATGTTACATGTATTTGATAAAAATTAAAATTAATAGAAAAATGTTTTCTAGCTCCACAGGCCTATGAAAATGCAGTGTTTTTCCTTCATAGTCTGTCCTGAGGCAAATAGCTCTTGCTTCTCTCTTGAGATTCCCTCCCCTGAATATAGCTCCATGTATAAAAGTATATAAATAGGGCAGAATCTTTTAAACCTTGTGCTGTAGTGTTGGCAAAGGCCGAAAGCAAAGAAGGGGAAGATCCTGGGGTAAAGGAGGGTGAGGATGATAGATGCAGTCAGCTAGTCTGCGACGTTTCCATATAGACAAGAAAGAAAATAAGATTTCAGGAGCCATAAGGCTAAGGAAACAAGTTGAGCAGACTAAAGGAAAAGAGAATAAAGGATTGGAGAAGGAAAAAGAAGTTGGGGACAGAAATACAGCAACGTATCCAGTAAAGAAGAGAATAGCCTCTAATTCTCTGCCTCCTCTGGCCTCTACACTCACCACCACTACCTTCTACTAGAACCAGAGTCCGTCACTGAGGACGCTGATTTCACATCCCAACCTTGAGCCCACTTGGGAAAATCGAACATCTTTCTTTAGTCTTCAGTCTTAAGCTGAACTGTGTCAAGTACAAATGCCTGGAGTACGACGGAGTTTAGTCACCATCATATTTCACCACCTGAGGTACACCAGTTGGAACTTATGGGTCCTCCTGCCATGGCACTCATCTTTTCTCTTACCTTCTCTTTTC